CCAGATGCTCCCTGATGCTGCCGGTCTTCATGGCTACGGAGATTGACCAAGAGTTTTTAGACTCCTCAGTTTAGGCTACAGTGGTTATAGGATCCGGCCACCTGGTACACTCCCTTGCCAGCTCTGGGGGGTGGGAAACACCCTGTCTTTTCACAGGGCTGTTCTATGATGGAGGGAATGCATGGGAGGAAGCAGGCACTGTGTGGCATCAAGCAGAAAAGACCTGCAACACCTGGGCATGCATGTGGTTTACTTTTTATCTTACAGGGCAGGACATGAAGAGCAAGCATGAAGGACTGCTGCTGTGGAGCCCACCGGTGTTTCCTTGCCTGTTGTCCTGGGCCGCTCTATGCAGGTCAGCATGCCTTGTTCCTGTGGGACCCAATCAGGGTCAATAGCAAGAACAGAATTGGACCCTGAGTGTTGCCTGGTGACTGATCTACCTCTGTGCTCCAGCTCCTCACGGACATTCCGGTCTGGGAGACAGCGGAGAGACAGGACAGCCATCAGAAGAGCACTTTTTCCCTCTATTTTCTTTTTATTGGAAATATTTTTTTTTTGGTACAATATATTCTGATTACAGTTTCCCTTCCCCTAACTCCTCCCAGATCCTTCCCCTCTGATCCAAAAACCTTTCTTTCTCTCTCTCATTAGAAAACAAACAGGCATCTAAAAGAATAATAATAAGATAAAATAAAAACAAACTGTAACGGCACAAAACAGACAGAAGAAAGCCAAAGAAAAAGCACAAGAAACATGTATAGACACAGAGACGTATACGTGTTCACGTACACACACAGAAATCCCATAAAAACACAAAACCGGAAACCACAATAAATACGCAAAAGACCCGGAAGGTTAAAAAGAAAAGAACCTCCAAAAATGACATTGAATTTGGTTTGTGTTGGCAATCTACTGCTGGGCATGGGACCTGCCCTTAAGAGTGGTTTGTATACCCGGTGAGACTGTCGGAGAAAACTATTTTTTCCTTGGTGAGCAATTACCCATTGGAGTTTTAGCTTCCGGGTTAGGGATGGGGGGGAGTGGGGGAGGGGTAGGGGCTCGTGTACATTTCTCCTCTCAGTGCTGAGAACCCATCTGGCTTCGACCCACGCCAGTCCGCGTGCCGCCACAGTCCCTGTGAGTTCATTTGTGCTTTGGCCCTGTTGATCCAGAAGGCCCTGTTTCCTTGGCGTCCTCCATCTCCGCTGGCTCTTACACTCTCTCCGCCTCCTCCAGCAGAGCTGGTCTAAGCCACTAAGCTCAGAGCTGCTTTTCTTCCAGCGGTTTTTTTGATAACTCCTCCCTCTGCTATACCTCTTTCCCGTGATGAAGTAATTAATCCTCACCGTACACCCCAGAGATGAAATTAAAGCTGAGTCTTTCACACACGTGAAGCATCTTTTATGTAAGGATCACTAACTAACCCCGACATTTGGCTCCCATGACAACAGCACACGTGTCTGAGATGACAAGAAAAGTGTTCATTACTGTTTCAAAAATCGGGAGCAAGGAGAAGAAATCCCCCCCCCCCCCAGGACACAGAGGACGCGTCGGAGTCAGCTGAGCAGGGACGGGCTTACAAAACTATCACAAGAACACATCTGGACCTCCAGGTGTGTTGGGCCTCTCCCTACTCAGACCACCATCTTCAAGTTCACAATTCTGAGTGGGGGGGATGGGGTCCACAAGGACAAGAGGTGGCTGGTGGGGATATCGACAGCCTTAGAGCCACATCCCTGTGCTCTTCCGTGTCTCCACAGCGCCGATCTCGTCTTCTTTATCTTCCACAGCTATTTGTGATGTAGATGAAACGGAGCCAGTAGCCAGATACTGTGTGGTGGAAAGAACTTGTATAATGAAACAGAGGACTTTTAAGAGAAGAGGGAGTGTGTTGGGAGAAGCAGAGGGACGGGCCTGCATGCTATGGAGTCACAGTTCTGGTAAAACCAGGGCAAAGAGCTATCCTCTCCCCGTAGCCAGCGGTACGCTTGAGGTGACGTCTCTCTACCTTGATGAGCAGCAGATGGACTTTTATTGACTGGGCTGCTCAGATGGCTTCTGAGCTGGGGCTGGGGGAGCTGCATCATGGTGGATATTTCAGTGGCTTCGTGAAGGGGGACACTTATACTGGGGACTTCTCCCATGACAGCCAGTGGTGGTTGTTGGCAACCTCCAGTTATCAGGGTGGATAATACTGCAGGGCTGACCTCCATCCTGAGTGACTGGGGCTCAGAGACTTTCCGCCTAGATCTAGCATCTGCTTGACAAGCAGAGGGACACAGCTCCCTAACGGGCTCTTGGGACAGGGGTGTCATAGGGCAAGGCTCCTGCTCAGCCATGAGTTTGAGGACAAGAAGGCAAGGAAATTCGCCCTTTGTAGGGGTGTAAGATGGGGTCACCAGTGCCTAGCTTCCCACTGAAGTTCCAGAACAAGTGCATGGGGCTGGTGTGCACAGACACCTCTGGCAGCCCACTCCCTTCTGTTGAAGCTGACTTCCCAAGTCATCCCATTGGGGAGGGGCTGCCAATCAATCCCACAGCCGGGGACATGGCTCCAGAAAGGCCATGGAGCTCTTTGTGTGGGTGTTTGGATGTCATAGGGATGTGATTTTTTTTCCAAGACAAGGGTTCTCTGTGTAACAGCCCTGGCAGTCGTGGAAGTCACTCTGTAGACCAGGCTGGCCTTGAACTCACAGAGATCCGCCTGCCTCTGCCTCCTGATTGCTGGGATTAAAGGCGTGCGCCGCCGCCTGGCAGGGGATGTGCTTTTGAGAAAGAATCCTTCACAGAGTTGAGATACCACTTATGTTAGTTTTATATGTGACCAACATATTGTTTTCTTGCCTCATGCTCATCATTTTGGTTTTTTTTTTTTTTTTTTTTTCTGTAACAAACTTCAATGTCCTTCTTGACCTAACAATACTTGGGTTTTATCTTTGATCTCTCAACCTATCTTTTTTTTTTTTTTTTTTTTTTTGGTGTCTTTGTTGAATGGCATTTTAATGTTGATCCGTCTTTATGATTTAACATGGCAGAGACTGTGGTGCCTACTAAAACCCACTCCTTGTTCTCGAAGTAGAATGTGTAGTAGGGCACACAGTCCAGAAAGTGTCCGAGTCCTCAGCAAGGTCACACGCTGGTTAGTGACCCAGAGGTTTCACAAAGACATGGTAGTTTTGATCTTCTTCTCTAAAGCTACAGCAGGAGTTACCGTTAGTATCTCAGTGTTTCATAAAAGAAAACCGGGCTCAAGTCACTTCTGTGCCGTGGCACCGCTGTTGGGCCACCATGCCATGAGAGAGACAGCTGCCGCTCCAGGACCAGAATGATTCTCGTGATATCTGGGATGCCATTGGGAGTCTGAAGAGTTTTCTAGGTGTCAAAAAGAGTTTGACCAACGGCACAGACACTGGAAAGCACCAGGTGGGCCAGGAAGAGGGTGCTGGAGCACACCTGAGTGAGAGGCTGGGCTAGAAGCGGGGCCAGGCCAGGCTGGATCTGCCATCATCCATCCTCTGCTCTCATGAAAGGGGAGTGATGATGACCAGAAGAAGGGCAGCCACAGGCTCACGGGCTTGTAGGTGCAAAACTTCAGGGCGGTTACATCGTCCTCACTTTAGCCATCTTCAAAATGTTAGACCATGGCATTGAAATGCCACACTATCTCTAAGAGACTCTCTGGACTTTGGAGCGCTACTTAGGAAAGGCAGTTGAGGAAGTAAAACAAAAACAAAAATAAGGAAACTCATAGGAGCGCTTTCCAGAGAGCTTCTAAGCTTAGATGCTTACTCCAAGGGCTACAGATCTCTGGATTGATTGTATTTTGTTATTTATTTGGGACAGGCCTTGCTATATGACTCAGACTGGCCTGGAACTTATGATCCTTGTTTCTCATCTTTCTCAGTGCTGAGATTACAGGCCTGTGCCATCATGACTTATTTTCAAGCTTAAAACCTTTTAAACGACCAGTTTTTTTTCTTTCTTTTCTTTGTTTCTTCCTTCCTTCCTTTCTTTTCTTTCTTTCCTTTTTTTTTTCTTTTGGTGGGGTTGGGGGTTTGTGGGGGCGGGGGGCAGGTGGAACTTTTTGAGACAGGGTTTCTCTGTGTAGCCCTGGCTGTCCTGGAACTCTCTCTGTAAACCAGGTTGGCCTCGAACTCAGGGATCCACCTGCCTCTGCCTCTAGAGACAGAACAGACTTCTTTAAACAAATAAAAGATGAAGAAAAGTCCTACTTGTTAGGTCTCTAAAGTCTGTGCCTCCCTGCCAGGCACACGGCGGGTGCGTTGAACACACATGTTGGAAGGGAATGAAGAGTGAGTCCCTCTGCCAGCCTGTGGCAGCTGCGGAGGCCCAACTGTGGCCAGAGCAGTCAAGACAAGTTGCCAAACAGGCACCCGATGAAAACAGAAAGAATTCGTGAGGCCTTGAAGATTCACATTGGAGCTCAGCTGCTCTTGGAGAGGCCTGATTCCAACAAAGCAGAAGGCCATTTCCTTTCTTCTAAATTCCAAACCCATATGTGACCTAGCTCTTAGTGTATCACAGAACTAGGTCCCCTGTAAAGGTAAGTTTTCCTGTGTCCTGCAGCTGCTCTCAAATAATCAATCACTCAAAGGCTTAATATAAATTATAAATGCTCAGCCAATAGCTTAGGCTTGTTATTAGCTACCTCTTACATTTAAATTAACCCATATTTCTATTTATGCTTTGCCACGTGGCGGTACCTTTATTAACATGGCACATTCATCTCCTGCTCCCTCTGTGTCTGGCTGGCAACTCCTGACTCTGCCCTTCTCCTTCCCATCATCCTTAGTTTGGTTACCCTACCTATACTTCCTGCCTGGCTACAGACCAATCAGTGTTTTATTAAATCAATTTGAGTGACAAGTCTTTACAGTGTACAAGAGGATTATGCCACAGCAGTCCCCCTCACAGTTGACCCTACTATATCTGTGTTTTAGATGGAAAGAGGAGGGAAGGGATGAAGGGAAAGACTTGCTTTTTTCTGTTGAAGGACATCATGTGTGTATCAGAGGCCCATATCCCTTCAGCTCACACTTCTTAGCCAGAGCCTGGACACATGGGCACATCTAGCTGGAAGAGATAATGAGAAATGCAAGGTCTTTATTGTGAGTGGCCATGTGAACCATCATATTTTAACCAAGGAGACTAGTTGGTTTTGGTGGTGCATGTCTGTAGTGACTACACTCAGGAGGTGGAGGCAGGGGGACCATGACAAATACACAGACATACATTCAGGCAGGCAAAACACCCATTCACACAAAATAATAAAATAATTAAAAATTAAGAATAATAAAACAGGGTTGGGGATTTAGCTCAGTAGTAGAGTGCTTGCCTAGCAAGCGCAAGGCCCTGGGTTTGTCAATGAAAAAAATCGTCAGCTAAAGAAGAAGAAGAAGAAGAAGAAGAAGAAGAAGAAGAAGAAGAAGAAGAAGAAGAAGAAGAAGAAGAAGAAGAAAACATATCCAGTATCCAGCTTGGGCTATGAACCAAGGGTTCCTTCTATGGGGTGGGGGGTGGAGTTAGAAAAGTAGACCAGACATTCACAAGGAACTCACCATTTGTGCCACATGCTGACTTTATATGATGGAGGGCAGATGTGAGTCTCTACACTGGCTTGGTTGCAGACATCTGGGTCTGATGACATAAACAGAAAGCATTTCCTTCAGAGTAAGGTCAGGTCGGTGCACAAAACCTCAGCTGCCATTATGGGAGTGCAGCACCAAAGTACTGTCTTCAGAGGCAAAGATTAGCGTGTGCTCTGGTTAGTTTGATTTGGTCAGTGAGTCTTCTGTCTGCTTCCCAGGAAGAGACAACCTGCCCTAACAAATGTGCCAGTGTCTCCTATTTTCACAGCAACAGCAACATGGAAGGGCTGAAGAGAGGCACCAGAACCGGTGTGGTGTGTGGCTAGACATACCTTTCTTTTTTTTATACCTTTCTTTTTTTGCAGTTTGAAGCCAGACCCTTGCACATGCTAGTCAGATACCCTGGCCCCAAACTATATTCCTAGCCGTTGACTATTAGAGGCAGGGTTTTGCTATGTAGCTCTTGAACTCATAATCTGCCTGCCTTAGATTCCCCAGTGCTGGGATTACAACTGTGCATCACCACACCAATCAACACATCGCCTTTTAAATTCTTGGCCTTCTGTTGTCCACATTTCCTGGTGTCCACATTTCCATGGCCAGTCTTGGTAGTGTCTCACCAAACTTGGCCTCTCCTTCTTCCTGGGAGATGAGTGGCTGCTGGTGGCCATGACAGAGGAGCAGCAGGTGGCAACTGAAGTTCAAGGTGTCAACCCACCAGGAGGAAACTCTGATGGATCAATCTCAAACAGTCAAGGCCCGGAGACCACAGACCCTGGCATGTCTTTTGCTTCTGCTGTGCCTTTACATGCTTGGTGATGCCATCTTTCTCTGGTGTCTGGCATGGTGTGAATGGGTGTGGGGAGATCCCCACTGCCTGCAATGTGCTATGTTTATCTCATGGAAGCATCCCATTTGACTGGGCATTTTCACCTGTGGATTATTATAAAGATGATTTCTTCCTAAGCTGTACTGTCTAAATGATAATAATGTTAAATAGAGTTTTAATGATTAAAAATATTAACAAGGAAGTGTCACACTGCTACAACACATGAGTTTCTATTGAGGAGATGTATAGACTGTGGTTTAGGTTAATGATTAAAAAAACAATTGAGCCCCAGTTAGCCCAGCTAGCTCAATTTTTTTTTTTACCTTAATGTTGGGAGATACGTTCACAGGTTTCAGAGTGCATCACAGCTGAAACAAAGCTTTGAAAATAACTTAAACTAAGATGTTTTTGTCAAATAGCTTTGAGGTTAAAAACCCAAGAAGATAATCCAAAGTTTTAGAAAGGCACATAGTTGAATGTGGAACTCTTTAAAGTCAGGGAGCAAGAACAAAACAGCCCAATTAATTATTACTAGCTGACGCACCTTTCTTGCTAGGATTGGTTGATGACCAAAGGTGATGATTAATTCCTTATAGCCATTTTTGCCCTCAGTCTCCTGATATAAGAAACTATTGATGAGTGTGTATACACCCCAAAGATTTAAAGTAGGGCTGACTGATTGTATTTCATATATAAAAGTTTAGGTTTGTGATTCCTTGAAGATTCCTTATAAGATTACCTTTCAAAATAATTTTGTAACTGAATAACTGCTGCCTGTCATTGAAAGACCTAAGAAAAATAACTTGCTTGCATACACAGTTAATCTATAACAAGTTGCTTGGGTATGAATGTATGTGGGTTCTTGGGATAATTTGTTTTTTACCTGTAATACGTAAAATGTTTAATCATGTAAGGGATATGGAAAACATGCTGGTTTTTTTTTTTTAACTGTTTGTCCTTTATTCATTGTAATCATTCACTTGAAAAACAGAATGTAACCACATTGTAATTTTTATATTGCCTGGAAGATTTTGCTGGGGTATATAAGCTGTAGGAAAAAGAATAAAGATAGAATTAAAATGGACTAGAAGGAAAACATCAAGAATGAGAGAAGAAACTCACCAGGAAAATAAAGAATAGAGAATGCAAAAGAAAGATCTGAAAGGTCTGAAGGAGACCACCAAGAGAGTGAGTGTCTTTTCCCTAACCCCCTCAGATAGAAAAGTCTTAGTTCGCACCAACACCATGGATTCATTTCAAATCCTGGGCTGTCCCCCAGGCAGCAATAAGCCACTCTTTTCTCATTCCTCTTGCAGGTAAGTGGCAGAATGACTGAGCTCTTTCCAGTGGGATCTGAGCATCCCGAGACCTAACCTGAAGGATGAGAGTGACCTGTCAGTATTCCTTTCCCTGTACACTGCTGGCCACGTGGGCATAGAGGCCATTTCATTGTGCCATGTAGATAATAGCTGTGCCCCAAAAGATTGTGAAACAACAGCCTGGAGGGCATTTGGGTCTCTGATTAACCTGGAGATGGAGCTGCCCTGACTGACAAGCTCATTTGTGACTGCTACATAAAGAAAGGAAATTGATTTTCTCCATTGTGTTGTGACATATTTTCCTTATAGCAGTCCAGTCTTTTAGAGAAGCAAATATGCCCAAGATTTCTCTCCCCAAGTACTGGGGATCAAAGCCAGGGTAAGCACTCTCACACGAAGATATACTCCCACCCCTTTATTCACGTTTTGTTTTGAGACAGGATCTCACTAACTTGCCCACACTAGCCTGGTCTCAGTCTACAGCCCAGGCTGGCCTTGAAATTTCAGTCTTCCTGCCCCAGCCTGTAGAGTAGCTGAGATCATAGGCCCGAATTACCATGTGTCACCCACCATACAGCCCAGGCTGGCCTACAACTCACAATCCATCTGCCGCAGCCCCTCCTACCCTCTGGACTGGGATTACAGGTGGGAGCCACCACGCTTAGCAAAGACGACATTTTTGAAATCCACTTAAAAGGAGAGAAACCTTATTGGATTCACAATCATTCAGCCCATGGTCTGGTGGCCTGTTGCTTTTTGGCCTGGGGTAGAGGTCACACATCATGGTGGGAGCACACAGCAGAGGCAGCCTTCATCCTCGTGATAGCTGGGAGGCAAAGTGAGAAACAGGAATGGGCTGGAGCCTCCATGTTCTCCTTTAGGGCATACCCCGATGACCTAACTTCTCTCCTGGGCATCACCTCTTAAAGGCTCCATGGATTCTTAACAGCCCACGGGCTATGGACCAAGCTTCCACTCATGGGCCTTTGGGGGCACATTTGAACTACTGCATGAGGAAAATGGTCCATGACAGTAAGTTAAAGAAGGCAGGCTCCAGAGAGGCCCACAACCCCCTCCTGAGCAGAGGATCCCTACTCGGACCCCATACCCTACCGCTCAAGCCCTTCCTCTCCTGCCATCATGGACTCCTGAATGGTCCCCCACCTGCCCCGTGTTCTCAGTGCTGTGTGTTTGTCCCTTTGGCTGCAGCGGCTGTTCCTGGACACTGTGGATGCACCTCCCCTTCCTTCAGACATTAGCTAACTCTCTCCAAATCGGCCAAACCATCCCTGGCTGTGCCACATCAAAAAAATGGGCTCTGCGCACCCACCCCACCCCCCACACACACACACTTCTGCTTCCCTTATAAAGCCTGTTTTTGTCTGGAGAAGTTACTGTTGCTTGTCATATAACTTTGTCACGTGTCTCCCCGTGAGGAGTGCAGGCCTGTGAGGAGGACAGAGAACATCATGATTTGTTCATTGCCTCAACTCATAGCAGGCCACCAATGAATATCGATGAGATCAATGAGTTACAGAAGTGATTATAATTAACGATATCATGGGATGTTGATTTTAAAAAGTCTTAAGTAAAGACAGATGTGGTGGTGCTGTGAACATCTATAAACCTGGGAAGTTGAAGCAGGAAGACTTCCAATTCAATGCTAGCCTGGACTACAAGGTGAGACTATCAGCCTTCGGTGATAGGTAGGGAGCAAGTCGAAGAGATGATGAGGTGGTGACCAAAATGTCAAGTGTGTCTATTCTTAGGTGGACAGGTGATTGGCAATTTTGATTGTTTTCATTGTACTTTCTGCAGTTTTGAAACATTTAGCAGGAGGCATATGTTACGATGAGAAAGACATGGATGCATCGCTATTATTTACACAAGTTCACTTCATACCTTTGCTGGCTAGATGTTCCAAGCTGTAGACCATGTCTATTATTCTAGAAGTGTTCACTGCTTCCGTTTTACACATGGGGGACTCTTCCTTGGGGCAAACTTTTATCAGCTACGGCCTCCTGGTATTTCCTTCCTCTGCCTCACTGGCTCAGAACCTCATCGGCTTCAGCAAGTGCCTCAAGGTCTTGGAGTTTCCTTTGGATGTTGTCCAGTTTCCAAAAGCAGCCTTTTGCTCTATGTTTAGTTTTCTAAGCCTCAGGTGCCAGTTTGGGTTTGCCAAGGCTTGCTTCTCTCTCAAACACAGCTTCTTCCTGTAGTCCCTTCCTAGGACCCACAGGACAGGGGACCTGGCGGGAACAAGGGACCACACTGCACAGCTCCTCAGGCCTCCAAAGCAGAAGGAAAGAGCTGCCTGGGGGAAATGAGTTGACAACACAGGAGCCTGACATGGAACAACTGGACTTAGCCCCCTCCAGTGAGTTCATGGCAGAGGCTGAACTGGGTGGGAGGCACACATCTCAGCAGCCATGTTCACCTGCAGGGGCCAGAGCTGGAGCATCTTGTCCTTCGAGAGCGAAGCCTTGGCCTAACACCTAGGCTCCCTTATTCATCTCCATGAGAAAAATTATTACCCATAGTTCCACTTGCCACCCCACCTCCTTTACGTATAAACAATGACCTAAGTACAGAGTGGCTCTGTCACAACCAGAAGCTAATCCGTGATAACCAGAGGGAGTCCAGGCCTGGGTGGCAGGAAGGAAATCATCAAACACACCAGAATAATGCTCATCCCTTAGGGCACTGAGCATGTTCAAGGTGAACTAAAGACGTCCAGTTATTATTTATAGAACCGGTGGGGGGTTTGCGGGCTGCTGGGAGCCTGTGGCAGTCAGGAAGAACATTCACTGGCTTTGTCTGTGCCGAAGACTACAGGCTGACACTGGAGGATGTGCCCTGCCCATCCCCCAGAGGGGACAGCGCCCACCCAGTAGGGCTTTTTACTGTTCAGCCAAGTATATAGTCATCCTTGGCATCTCTAAACACGGCTGCCCAAGAAAGAACTTAAAAACACATCCAGGTCAATCCCCTTGACCATCTTAAAACCTTTATACTTGCAAATAAGACTCCTCTTCTGCAGTGTGAATAGTCCAGGCATGCCTCTGAGGACCACTCTATATATTGTCTATGATTTAGCTGTCTTTGCCACTCTAAGAGAACAGTGTTCTCCAGGATAGGCAGCATGGGTGGACTTCTACTGGTAGGCCCAATGCCTGGCATGCAGTGTGTGCTCAGCTAGTACTCATGTGCTAACTTTGAGGGTATGTCTTTGAAATGTTTTAAATTTTAAACATTCTACACAAGGGGGTTCCTTGACAAATTTTCATTTAGGGTAGTCGTTCTCAACCTGTGGGTCATGACCATAGGAAAACATATATTTCTGATGGTCTCAGGAATCCCTAATCATAAATTTATTTTCATTGCTACTTCATAACTGTAATTTTGCTATTGGGCAGTGTCTCGGTTCCTAAGACCACTGGGAATACATGTTTTCTGACGGTCGTGAGCCTCAGGTGGAGAACCGCTGATTTGCGGTAATGTTCGTGAGTTCACTTGTTGGGAACTGCCGTGTGTCTAGCACTTCACAGACCTTTTAACTTCATCCTCATGCATCATTATGTTTATTTATCGTCTCCAAGAATGCTTGAGCAGGAGGGAATACATATTTTTAAATCTTATAAAAACCTGATGACCTTTGTGATGAACCTGAAAGCCTTATTCTTAAGATTAAGCACCCTTTTATATTCATTTATCACATATTGGTTGCAGATCTGCTGTGTGCCAAGTCCTGTACAAGAGCTCTGGAGACTCGGCAAGGGGGCACTGGAGAGATGGCTCAGTAGTAAAGGGCGCTTGTTGCTCTTGCGGAGGACCTAGGTTTGGTTCCCAGCACCCACACAATGCCTCACAACCATCTACAAACCCAGTTCCAAGGGGTCTGACACTCTCTTTGGCCTCCATGGTCACTGCATACATGTGGTGAACTTACATGCACACAAGCAAGCAGACACTTGTACACATAAAATAATTCAAAAAAGTAAGTCTCTTAAGAAGAGACAGCAGTAAGAAGTCACAGTTCCTAGCCAGCTCAGAGGCAAAGCAATAAGAACTGTAATAAAGGTGTCATTAAAGGTCATAAAGCAATGAGTAAGAGAGCTGTGGGGAGGCGTCAGACCCGGCTGAGGATGCAGATACCATCAGGAAGACATAGTGCTCACCACCATGAAGGCATTTGCATATACTAACTCACTTAAGCCTAACTGTCCTGGGATGGAGGGGCTCGTGTCTTTCCATTTCACAGATGAGAGAATTGAGGCACGTGAGAGATTGAATAAATTGCCTAAAACTGAGCTTATAAGCGGGGGAGACTGCCTACTAAGTCTTAGGTGTGTGGGCTAAAAATGGCAGCAATAATAGTGTCAAAGGATGTGGTATTTTGCTGTTGCCAAAACCTACTTTCTTGGATCCCCTCCTAAAGAGAAGCCAGGTATTTCTTAAACAAGTCCTTGAACTTGGCAACAGATGGAGGGACTTTGCTTCCCAGCCGGTAGACCCAGTTCGTGGCCCAGCCCCCCAACCCATGTACCCGAAACAAAGAGTAATGGCTGGATACCCGTTCTTAGCTATGTGACCTCCGAACCTTTACTTCCCCAGCTATAAAAAGAGGGTACTAGCGTTTCTGTCTCGGGGGGCCTCTCCTGCCGGCTGCTTCTGGCTTCCTCCACACCCACCACACAAGATGGAGCTTCTTAGTAGCACAGTTGCTGAAAGGGGGCCAACCTGGAAGTCTGTGGAGTGCTCTGAGTGACTTGCAGCCATTGTTCTGGGCCGGGGAGGGCCTCTGGCAGGGAGGGCAGAGGGCGCTGGCCTTCAGCAGACATCTGCCTCAGAGAGTTCCTCTGCTCTGCTGTTTGGAGACAGGCTTTTCCTTCAAGGGCTGAGCAAACATAGTCCGAAGAAATACTTCAGGGAGACAACATGGTGGCTGACTGGAGGCTGGAATAGGACCGGAAGTAGGCCTGACCCTGGAGTGTGTCCCCCGGGGTGCAGCTCAGAGAGACCTCAGGGCCAACATCACGCTCTCTGTTTACTCAGGGGTTTCCTCATTGCAGCTGCCAAGGAAGCAGCTTTGTGAGCAAAGGGAAAACGTGGGGTAGGCTGCTGGAGCCCGGGCGGCTGCCTACACAGAAACTCCTGCCTCAAGCCATGGAAGAGCAGAATGGAATCCAGCCCCTGCCCAGCCTGGGCCAGCAGCACAACATGGGCCTTTTGGGGGGACTGGCCTCATGACCACGACTTCCTAGGTGACCTGGTACCTCTGTGGTGGGGGCCGTTCTTTTGTACAGGTCCTGTGTTTTCTCTGACCACGGGGACAAAGTACCTGGGATAAACAGCTTAAGACAGGAAGAACTCGGTTGGCCTCATGATTTCGGGAGCTTCCGTCCATGATTGGCTGGCGCCATTGCTCTCAGAGCTACAGCAAGATGCAAGCATCAGGACAGAAGGATGGCAGAGCTGCTCATCTCATGGTAGTCAGGAGGGAAGGAGGGAGAGACGGGGAGAGAGAGAGAGAGAGAGAGAGAGAGAGAGAGAGAGAGAGAGAGAGAGAGAGAGAGAGCAGACACACAGAGAGACTGAATGAATGAGTACAAAAGGCCCGTCCAGGGAGACAATAGACCCAACCTTGTCAGCCCTCCCGTGATCTACCACCTCCAGGTGAAGCCCTGCTTCCCTATTGCTCACTCGGGCCCCTGTGGTCAGGTCTTTGGGGGGACACTGAACTCTGCCTTGAACTCTTCTCCACCCTGGGCTGCTGGCTGTAGACCAATCATTGTGCGGCTGACATAGGACTTGGACATAAGCCATTGATGAGGTTAACATCCTTGTCATACAATCACTTCCAAATAGTGTCCTGGACCAGGAACTGATCCTTTAACACATGAGCCTTCTGAGGGGGCACTTTACAATAAACCCTAACAAGACTGCTCAGGGGAATTCCCAGGGGGATTCATTTGTTCGTTTGTTAGAGGCCTGTCTGTCCCTTCACCGACTCTGGCCCGCCTCTTCCTCATTTAAGGAATAATGGTAAATTGAAAACTTACATATTTGCAATCAAGAATGTGGTGGTTTAAATGACATGGCCCCCGTATATTTGAATACTTCGTCCCCAGTTGGTGGAAGTGTTTGGGAAGGATTAGGAGGTGTGGCCTTGTTGGAGGAGGTGTGTCATTAGTGATGGGCTTTGAGGTTTCAAAAGACACCATTATGAGGTGTCGTGTCCCCCCCCCTCCCCCCCCCCCCCCCCCCCCCCCCCCCGCCTTCTGTCTCCTCTCTGTTTCTTGCTTGTAGATCAAGATGTACGCCCTCTAGGTCCTGCCTCAGCACCATGCCTGCCTGCCTGCTCGATGTCATACTCCCTGCCATGGTGGTCATGGACTCTAACCTTCTTGGACCATGAGCCCTGGTTAAATGCTTTCTTACAGAAGCTTCCTTGCTCATGGTGTTGGGTCATGGCCATAGAGCAGTAACTAAGACTGAGAGGTCTGATTTCCTAATGAGGGAGAAGGAGTTTATACAGCTCCCCTGGAATGAAGGGTGGGCTCGGAGGCCTCATCCTCGGGGGTCCACCTCAGGTGGGTGGAGACAAGGCAGAGGATGGAAGGAAGAAGGGAAGAGGCTGCTAACAGGGCTTCTTGGTTTTCAGTCAGACCCTGCACTGAATGCAGCAGTTCATACTCGGTGGAAGGCTGTACTTCCCGGAAATGAAAGCATGATTTTTACTCTTTGGACCCAACTGTAATGCTGTGTCCTCGGAGGTCTTTCTCCGGTCCTACCCTAAGTCCCCATGGCTGCTGCTATCCTGCCACCCCGGGAGGTGAGGGGAAGACTGCCTCTTCTGTGAGGCCTCCTGGAGTGACTCCCACTGGAGGTTCCCGTGGAGGCAGCTGCCTGCTGCCTTCTCAGTGGTGACAGAACTCTCACCAGCAGAAGCTCCAGCCTTCCCACTGCCACAGTCTCTCCGACTCTCCTCAGAGTAAAGCAATGGGCTCCACCCCTGGAGAGAGGCAGGCTATCCAACCAAGATGGAGTGCATCATTTTATCCTTTCACGGAAACCACAGTCCAACTCCACAAAGACTAAAGGTTCTCGGAGCTGAAGCAGGTGACTGAGAGTCCTTTAGCAAAAGACCTCTGAGGAAATACTTATCTTGAGAGATAAGGGAAACTGAGGGGTAGACTGAGATGCCCCCACAGGAGCCCAGGAAACAAGCACTGCACGCACTTCAGATGCAAGGCCTCTGCTTAGGCCCTTTGCTGGAGAAAGCTAGACTAGGTAGAGCGCTCAGAGCAGCCCGGACTGGCCGTGCTGGACCCCAGCACATGGCAGTACTCAGAGGGCAGCTTCTCCAGGTGCCAGCTGGCTTTGCAATGATCAGCGATCTCTTCCCGTTTGACTTCACGGCCACAGGACTCCAAGTCACTCTTCTGCCAGGGGAGGCATCCTGTGCGTGACCTTGACCGCTCAGTCCTGGACCGCCCCCACCCACCAACTGTTTACAGACCCCTTTCTCATCAGCATGCTAAACCTTGGAGGAACTTGTTTGATTCCGCTCCATCCCCACCCCTTTGTAGATATTTCAAAAAAAATTTTTTTTTTCCTCCTCCAAAAATGTTACAGGAAAGAAGGAACTCAGATCATGAGAAAAGCAGGATTGGGGGCCTAGGGATTAGGAAGAAAAATGAATATTTGTTCCTGTCATTGCAGTCGCTGGAGAAATTCTTTCAGGTATCCAGAGGAAGGTGAGTGAGGCAGAGGGGCCCACGCAGCCCAGGATCAACAACAACAAAATATTGTGTCATAGACAGTCCCAGCAATAATCAGAAGAAGAATTTCTAAATAATCAAGAACATGTCTTCAGAAGGGCTGGAGAGATGGCTCAACAGTTAAGTGTAAACGTTGCTCTTGTAGAGGACCAGGGTTCATTTCAAGCACTCACCTGGCTCACAACCATCTACAACCCCAGTTTCAGGGGATCAGATGCCCTCTTCCAACCTCTGAGGGCACCAGACATGTACATGACGACCTACATACATTTATACACATAAAATAAAACAGGACTAAAGAAGTCTTCAAAAAATACTTTTTGAGGTGCTAGGGATCACAGAACCAGGGCCTCATACTTGATGGACAAAGAAACACATTAGTTTTGATCAGGACAACACTTCAGAGATTGATCTTGGATTTTCTGGCCTATGGTGCCTATAGTCTACAACTCAAAGCCTGATGCCAGGCCCGAGAATATTACAAACAGAACACTGCTCCTAGGACCCAAGAAGAAGGGCCTGGGGAAGCAAGATTTTCATTAGCTTGATAGGAGTTCTCAGGGTGTGTAACTGTCTTAGTTAGAGTTTCTATTGCTGTGAAGAGACACCATGACCGTGGCAACTCTTATAAAGGAAAACATTTAACTGGGGCTGTCTTACAGTTCAGAGGTTTAGCCCATTATCATCACGGAAGGAAATCATGGTGGCATGCAGGCAGACTTCTCCATGGTGCTGGAGAAGGACCTGAGAGTTCCACATCTGGATCCGCAGGCAGCAGGAAGAGAGAGTGACACTGGGCCTGGCTTGAGCATCTGAAACCTCAAAGCCCGCCCCCAGTGACACACCTCCTCCAACAAGGCCACATCTACTCCAGCAAGGCCACATTTCCTAATAATACCACTTCCTTTGAGCCTATGGGGGCCATTTTCTTTCAAATTGCCACAAATTGATATTTCTTTCAAATATCAATTTATTTATTTGTTTGCTTGTTTACTTTTGAGACAGGGTCTCATGCATTCCAGGCTAGCCTGGAACTCACTGTGTAGCTGAGGATGTCTTTCTGCTTCTACCTCCAGAAAGTTGGGATTCCAGGTGTGTGCCACCACAGCTGGCCATTATTGTCATGCTGTCTTGTGCTCCTTTATTGTGTGTTCTACCTTTTGCCTCTGGGCTTTTCTTACTCTTACTCCCTGGCTTGCTGTGAAGCTGGACGGCTGGCCCTGGAGTCCTCCTCCTTCTCTGGCTCCTAGCTCCTCTTCTCCTAATTTTCTCCTTCTATATATACTCTCTGCCTGCCAGTCCCGCCTATCCTTTGTCCTGCCTCACTATTGGCTGTTTAGCTCTTTATTAGACCAATCAGGTGTTTTAGACAGGCACAGTAACACAGCTTCACAGAGTTAAACAAATGCAACATAAGCAAAAGTAACATACCTTAAAATAATATTCTACTACAGAACAGGTCTTTGAGGATAGGGCCTGTTGGTGTGAGACTGGGGAGAATGCCATAGCTGGGTGAGCTTCCTCTTGGTTTGGATTGGTCTATTAGCATTCTCAAAAGGAAAAGAACTGATAGAAGAATATACATTCAAAGGGGATTAGATTGGGTTACAAGATGTGGCCATGATGGTCCAACAGTGGTTGTCTTACACTGGAGAGGCCGAGAATTCAATAGTTGTCCAGTCCACGAGACTGGACGTCTCTCCAGTCCCAATCTGACACCAAAGGTCTGGAAGATTCCCAGAAGGCTGCTGGTCTTCAGTCTATTTTTGAAGCCTAAAAATGTTAGTTTTAACATCATCAGTGAAGGAATGCCACCATCACAGGATAGATGAACTGGCCAGTGTGAGTGAGGGCTGGCCGGCAAACAGTGGACTTTCCTTCTCCCATGCCCTTTTATCTAGGCTGCCACCAGGGGCGCTGTCCTCATGGATGGTGGATCTTCCTGCTTCAAACAAAGTGATCAAGAAAACTCCCCACGGGAGCACCCAACAGCTTGTATGTTAGTGGATTCCAGATGCAGTTGATGACCAAGACTAGCCATCACGATAGGTTTGGGCTTCAGCCGATTGGGAGCAAGCCGTTTTCCTCCTGTCCTCAGAAGGATCTTGGTTGCTGAAGGATGCCAAGTAACCACAGAAGGAAATCAAGTAGATGCACAGGTGCCCGTGGGAAATGATGCCTGTGGTACCTTGTTGAGTAAAGGTGCTATACAATTACTATAGGATACATAAATATAAATAAAAATCTGTGAGAATGGGTGCTTGTGCTTAGGTGAGCACGATGAATATAAGTGTTCTTGGCTAGCATAATCATGCCCTTGGGGAAAAAAATAGGAAAAGATGTCCTTCTTTGAAATACATACCCCTCCAAAGAGCAATTTAGCAAGCAATTAATTATGCAATGAATTTATCCCTTGAGTCTTCTAGATTGGGTGGTGGTATGTAGTGTGTACCTGCACAGTAGTATGTTGCTGTTCTGTGTATATACATGAGTACTGTGTCTGTGATACTCCTGGTAGGTAGTATGTAAAACTATAAAGACTTGTTTCTAGAAAGAAAATCATCACTCTGTACTTGAAGTGTGGCCTTCGTCACCATGTTCATAAGATACACTGATTTTCTTTTTAAATAAAAAAAGTTGTTACATTTATATATGTACGTAGGTATGTACACGGACATGGCATGTGTATGTGTGTATCGTAAGACAACTTGTGGAAATCAGTTCCCTCCTTCCATCGTGTGGGTTCTGGGTTCAAGTCTTCAGGCTTGGCGGAAAGCTCCTCTACTGGCTGAGTCTTCTCTCTAGCTACTGTTTTCATTCAGTCTTCTTTGGTTTTTCCGAGACAGGGTTTCTCTCTATAACAGCCCTGGCTGTCCTGGAAAGTCACTCTGTAGATCAGGCTGGCCTCGAACTCACAGAGATCTGCCTGCCTCTGCCTCCCAAGTGCTGGGATTAAAGGCGTGCGCCACCATGGCCCGGCTTAATTCAGTTTTTAAATAAGTAAAAAACAAACAAAACCTTGAGATTTGATCTCAGCTCATCCTTCAGAAACTTCAGCATGGAAAAACTTTATTGCGTCATTCAAAGGTGCTTTTTGGCCTTAGGCCACTTCCCTGTGTGTCTTTGGCCACTCTCTTCTCATATGCGGTGCCTTCAAGTTGGTATGCCCCCTCTGGCTTCTGCAGACATTCTCTGCTCTGTGCCAAACCTCACTCTGGGAGCTTCCTATCATCCTCCGGGGCCTTACTTTCTTAGCACACCCATAGTTCCTGGCTTCTGTCTCTTTCTTGCTACGTGCCACATTTGACTCTCTCTTTTTCTTTTTTTTCTTTTGCTGTGGTTCATAATTACAATTCTAAACAAATTCTGTGAGTGGCACTTTGAGAGA